AAGTTAGGAAATGGCCAAAATATAATAGTAAAAATAACAAAACCTTTTGCTTGTTTAAATCTGGCATAATTGTGTATTTGCGTGTTGCAAAAAATGCAAACAAACAGTTGATGATACATTTAAAACTAAATATACCTGATTTACCTGATAAGTGTGATTGAGATGTAAAAACTACGGCTGAATTTGATATTATAATTAAATATATTTACCTTTGTTACTCACATGAACTTTGTTTAGCTTCAGAAGACTGAATATTGTTGTTAAAAGTAAAATGTGTGTTTTGACAACTTACTTCGGAATTCTTTTTGCAGGCATTTCAGATTCCGAGATGTCAGATGTGTAGCATGCCTGTTTCCATTTCTTTGAAATCTTGTCAAAAGATGCTGAAAGAAATAAAGTATGTAACAATTCATGAATGCAATAGTCTATGGAATGTCATATATTATTGAATTTATCCTTTGTTTAATATTGTTTATTTACAATGTACTTCTGTGTACCTGACTCGTGTAGAATTCTGGCCTGATGCTTGGTCCAACCTTTATCTGGTTGTGGTGCCTCCATCAACCGGACACTCTTCAACACCCTGTCTATCTCCTTGTATGGAGGCCACCACGAGTGACCCTCTGAGTACCAAGACTTTGCGACAGGTCCGGTACTCCCTTCGTGAATGAACTCCACTATCAGGTACATTTTTTTTAAGCTGCAAGAACCTAGAGCCCCATAGTGTTGAAAGACACATATTACATTTCGGTTGTTTATGTGCATGATTCAAATACACAAAATACATTTCATGCAAAATAATGATGCAAGTTAATATTGAGAAATTTTTTCCCAAGCACATATTACCAATTCCAGACCACATCAATCTTAAGAACCACTACTACTTTTGTATTCATCATTCTTTATTGATATATAATTTTCTGACAACACTCAAAGTAAAAAATGCTTTAAATTCAGGTGTTTTACTGATAAAAATATAACTTGGACTGAAAAGTTGCAAAATTATTAAATGACGGTGAAAAGAAGGCAATACTAGAAATTGCAAAATAAAGTAATGACAACTATTTTGGATCATTTGAATCGAGCTATTTTCACTTTCTGCCTTCATATAATATTACATATTGGTTATAGTTGTAATTAGGGCTTGACATTAATACTCGCCAAACCACCAAATGCAGGTAGATTTCAGCTGTGGCGGGTAAAGACTGCCATTTCCACTAGCCACTTTGGCTGGTTGAAAATAATTTTTTAATCGTAGTTTTCTTAAAAGCAGGGTTCAACAATAAGGATGGTCCAGTTTTTGGGACAGTAGACAGGATTGTCAGTGTCCTGACCAGGCCAGTGCTGGCTTATCACTAAATATTATAATTTCAGTTTTTTACCGTTTATCAATATGCATGCAAATGTGATAAAAAAAAATTATATATATTTATTTTTTTCAAAATTAGTGGTATACACAGTAATGAGTGGAACAGCAAATGAGATTTTAGAATCAAGAAGCAGCATGATTGACAAAAACAACTGTGTTTATGCAAAACAAAAGATAGCAGATAAATACCAAATGAGAGCTTGATCATACACACTGTGAGACACAGGCTATTCTTACTCACTGAGAGATGTTTTTGAGAGCCGAGTGTTTAAAATACTTGTGCACTACCGTGTCCTTGCATGTAGCAATCCTCCTTGGAAATGAAACTGGTGTGATGGATTCTATTTGAAATAGACTGGACAAAAGTAATTGTCGTGCATCCACAGTCCTTCTGCTTTCAAGAGCTTTAGATTTAAAAACAGGTATTTGTAAGCAGCAGTGATTGCCACTTTAACCATTGTTTGAACAGATTATTAATGTGCCTAATGTTAACTGTGTGCACATGATTAATATTTCATTATCACACATGGTTTGTTTTTCACCTGCTTTCTTTTGCTTGCAAGTCAATTTTCTGCATATAAAATATATTTTCCCAACAACAAAATTGTGGCTAGTGAAAAAGGCAAGTGGCTAGTAACCTTGGAAACTACAAGCCTCAGTGACTGGTGATAAAAAAAGTCAATATCAAGCCCTGGTAGTGATTAAGGTTTACAATTTTCAAAATGCTCTAGGAAAAAATATGATCAGAATATCATCTTGCACAATAATTATACTCGCACTATACAGTATATGTAAAAAAAAAAAACATGTGGAAATAGATAGATACTATGTGTGTAAAGTTTAAACTGAAACAAAATAATTTCTGCAAGGGACTAAAAAAGCTTTCATTTCAATATTTTCAATCTTGCAGAGATGGATTGGTCCTGACATGACATCAGTAGGTAGATGCCAAGTGTGGAGGATGGAAGCGTGGGGATAGTCAAAAAGGAGTTAATGTTTGCTGAAGGTGGTGTAGACCATGTAAATGCCATGCTTTTCTGAAATTATGTTTTGCAGCTTTGCAACCTTTCTGCCAATATAGACAAATGGTTTGCCTGGTCCAGTTTCAGAGTATATGGGCATACTCACTCTAGGTGCACTGAGGAATGCCATCCTGTTTTCCAGGTGCACACCATCCTGAATACATGTTTCACACCCATGGTAACCTGGTTGGCCATTTTAGAAAAGCATGTTGCAAAAGCAAACTTGAATGTTAACTTTAGTCATTCAAATTCAAAGCCATTTTTTTTAACTCTTTGATTTCAGAGATTAGGTCTTCGAGATACTCATTCAGGGAGCTAGTTTTACAGTACCTTCAGCCCACAATAAATCTATTGGCACATGTTCCCCCTGCACCAAATTTTAAACTTCTACTAGACTGAGCCAGCATTGAGCAAATGAACTCTTGTAGAGAGGAAGACCATCAATGCTCACCTGGAACTTAAAATTTTTATCTTCCTTAAAATGTACATGTTGTCATAGAGGACCCTTGAAATGGATGCCATTGAACCAAAAGTATATCACTGGCCCTGTGCGTTCAAAGAGAACTCATGTGCAAAAAGAAGGCTATTCTCTTTGAACGCACTTTACCTAACATTGTCCTTGTATCTTTTGGCAGACTCGGATTGTAATTGTGAATGATTATGAGTAATTCATTTAGTGATGCATGTGTTAATTTTTTTTTCTGTTTCCCATCTTGTCAAAGTCATCATTGAGGGGACTTGAACTAGTCAGATTGACTCGTTTATGAAGCACTTGCCAGGATGATACTGCATTCAGTCTCATTAACATGGGACAAACAGTCCAAGAAGTCAGTGCCGTCTTCAACAGTGCTGCTTGTCAATGCCACCATACTGTTCCCTCAATAGTGATGCTTATAACACATGCATTGAATAAAGCTGTTTGTCCACCTTGGCTTTTGCTTTTCTCCTGTTGTGTCCAGTAAGATTGTTTTTTTACAATCCGTAATACACACACACACACAATGCATTGCCCTAACATGCTAAGCCTGCATTGGTTTTGAAATTCAGTACTTTAAGACCCTTAAGCAGGTCGCACACCAGAAGCGCCGCTCCGCAGCGCGCCACGCAGCGCCATGCATTTTAGAATTCTAAACATAGGTTTCGATCAGAATACACACACAGGTGCTGCAAGTCGGCAGCGCCACGGCACAGGAAGAAGTTCATTTTTCAGCCTCGCCACAAAGCTGCATCTGATTAGTTTAATGTTAAATATCATTCGAATGTGCGCGTCTAGTGTGTGATGCTTTAAACTGTCATGTGCGCGCTGTGTCGCGGCGCTTCTGGTGTGCGACCTGCTTTACATCACACTGCTTACATGTACGCTTACATTTAATTGAACTTTATAAAACTGAAGCTTGGTAAACTAATTGGTGCATATTAGATGGGAGACATCCAGAATGTGCAGTGTTATGAGTCTCCAAGATTTGAAATTTTAGAACCACTTTCTTGATGACCAGTAGTTCTGTCACAATAATTACACGTACCTTATTTTTGAGGGACAGAATGTGTAAGTGTTATGTAGTTGTCAGTTGACTGTAGAGAACTCTGTAATTAGGGAAAAGATAAAACAGGTAACGTCAGTTTTGTCATTGTCATGCCTAGAAACAGTATAAAAAGCTTAATAAATGTATGATTACTCCTTTTTATAAAATGTTTGTTTAATTGAACTAGAACTAAACCCATAAGAATGCCTATATTCTGCTACTCCTTTGAATGTATTTTTTATCCTACCCAAAATTTCAGGGACAGTTCGTCTAAGAATGACAATTCTATCACCATTTACTCACCATTCACTTGTTCCAAACCTGTTTGGCTGTCTTTTCTCTGTTGAACACAAAAGAAGATAGTTTGAAGAAAGCTGGAAACCTGTAACCACTGACTTCTATAGTATTTGTTTTTCTACTATGGAAGTCTATGGTTACAGGTTTTCAGGTTTTTTCAAAATGTCTTATATTTTATTCATCAAAAGAAAGAAAATCATAAAAATTTGAAACCCCTCGAGGGAGAGTAAATGTTGAGTGAATTTTCATTTTTGATTGAATTGTCCTTTAATCTCAGGAGAACAAATTTGGGAAAAAAATTAAGGTGAAACTAAAAAACTAAGGGCTAAGGATTATTTTATTTATATATTTATTTGAGTTTTTTTTTTCTTCGACTATGGTTTAAGTTGAGGGGTTTCAAAACAGTGGACTATGGAGAGTTATGTATTTAAAACCATGCTGATTTTTTTTTTTATTTAAACTGTTGCTAATGCTACTGTAAATATGGATTATGAAATGAGGGTGTTTTTTATAAAGTTTAAAAAAGTAACAGGAAATGGGTTATATACTATTTAAAGATTTGTTTCTGTTTTCTGAACTTGACAAAAATTGTAAGGAGATTTATTTGTTTTTGGAAAAGAACTAGAGGATAATAGATTTAAATCTTTATTGATATTTTTAAGGTTTATATGATAGAATTTAGTGGGCTAAATGGTAGTTAGTGATCCCGATTTTGAAAGAGGTCCTAATCAATAGGTGGCACTGTGGCAGTAATACGCTTATAAATAAATCTGTATGCAAAACGGCAATGTCTAGAAGAAGACAACGATACGGTGACCACAACCAACACGAGGTTCACGGCTCTACAGGTAAAACAATTTACTTTGTGTTTCATGACATGGTGTTATTTTCCTTTAGTTTATGTGGTTTTAGTCACGGGATCGCATTAGAGCAGGGAATTCGGTATTGCGAGAAAAGTTCATAAAAATGGTCACTGTTAACACGGATTATAATCCGTTTTCATCTATATTTGGTGCTGACCACTGTTTTTCCACAAAAAAAAACTTTTAATACCATTTTGAATCCGGCACATACTTTATTAGGCATAACTAACATTTATGGTTGCGTTTGGAGGTTGTGCAAACTCTGGACAGTAGTCCTTCAGGATCGAGTGAGTCTGATGATTATAGTATGTTAATAAAGCCTGTTTAACCAGTTTCGTGCTTATTAAACCTATCAGTTCGATTTCATACAGGTCACTGAAGCATAGACCATAGGTCACGTGTTACTATTCTCAATGCTGTTGGACCAAACTAATCTACGACATAACTTTTCCCGCCCTACGCGTGCCTGACCACGTCAGTCAACCCTTTCGGTTATTAACCCTGCTTTACTATAGATAAATAAGTACACAAATATTTAATAAAAGTGTGTTAATATAGTTGTGCCATGGTTATCATAGATTTACCTATTTTTGCTAATAGAAACATATTTTAAGTATTTTAGGTAACGTGTATTTTTATTCAGTGCGCCAAAAATCATGGTTTTACGGTAAAAAGTCCTTAACGGGATAGCACATACTTAACAAATAACGTTAAATTAATAAATAATCTTACGATGTTGCAAGGCTGACGTTATTTAATGGAATAACGGTACTTACCAACAACGGACAAATTAACCTTAAGCTTAAAACCGAATAAACAACAACAAAAAAGTTAATATGTAAACAAACAGATAACTACGAATGAACAGGATTGTTATATGTACAAATTTTGTATTTACAGATAATTCTTGAGCTAAATATCAACCTATTATAAAAAAAACAAACGTTGAGGGTGCAATGTCATCTGTTGACAAACAGCCGTTGATCATGTGACGTAATGGCCTCACGACGTGTCACTCAGACAGGGTTAATGGAAATGTCATTGTCTATAATTGTAAGAAATTAATTAATTAGTTAATTTTATATATATTTATTATTTTTATTTAACAATATTCATTATTTTATTTTTTACTATTAATAATTACTTTCTATCACACTGGCATAAGGTTTGTTCTGTTGTCATATGTTGTAAATTTATTTACTAATTGTTGTATTTTAGGGGCACAAATCTCTGGAAAAATATTACTTGTTAATTGTATTGTAATTTTTTCAGGTGTTTTTGAAAGAGTTTTTTCACAAGTATAATATGTTTCCCCCATTCCCCCAATGTTGTGAAAATGCATGAAATGTACTAAATTCCTACATTAAATTAATGGACAAATTTTTTATTGAGAGGTCATGTACTAGATACTTTATTTATTTTTCTATTTATTTTTCTACAATAAAAATAATTTACAATAAAATTATTTACAATAAAATTCTCACCTGTCTTATGCAGAATTCTCTTCTGATGTTTAGCTGTGGTCCCTTGATCCAGACACTCCTCAGCAACCAGTCTTTGTATGGAATCCACCGTTCTCTATAAAGATCTATTTGTCTCTTCTTCCACTTCCATCAGGTACTTTTTTTTTTTTTGGCCAACAATGTTAATCTTATTTTTCAATATGTGATTTAGTATAACATTATAACTCATTGCATAATGCCATATTCAATGTTCATTATAAGACTTAAACTGTGTGACAGTTTATGAACATTACTTGAACTAGAGCTGCAAAGTTATATAAAAAGATATTTATTTATTTATGGTTTTGTTTGTTTTATATGTAACATTTGGAATTCGTTAAAGTAAATATAAGCTAAGTTAGGATGAAAGATAACTGTAAAAAAACAAAAAAACTTTGGTGCCTTTTTTGTTGAATCAAATGTAAAAACCCTGAACCAAAAATTTATATGGCTCCATTTTCTAGGTTAATATGCTCATAGTTGATATCAGATATGACTAAAGTGCATGCATCCTTAAGCACAAGTACTCATGTTTAAAATGACAGGTAAAATTTGAAGTACTGATTATACTTTTGTACTCAAGTGAAAGAAAAGAGATGGCCTCAAACATGTACACAAGTAAAAAGTATCCAATAACCTATCTTTGCTTTACGCTGGTAAATAGATTGCACATCATATATACATTTATACAAAATAACTTTCATTAAATAAATAAAAAAATTATCTAAAAATGCCCATTCTCAGCAGAAAAGTAGCCAAGCAACAAAGCTCTGCAATATTTGCCAACAGCACTTCTTAAAATGTTGCTCCATCATCTTGGCACAAAAACGCACCAAACAGCTGTTCTTACACACTAATAATTCTGTCTTAAATGTAACGCTTAAATTTGTCAGAAACAGTTTTTTTCTTTTGCTAAAATAAATGATTAACATCTTTTTTTTCTTCTTTGCTTTAACCCTCCTTTTGACTTAAGGGTAAAAAATGACACTAACACCATTTTAACAGCAAAAAAGCTAAAATACCCTAAACAATATTTTTTCCGTAATCTATTTTTAAAATTACCTTAACATTAAAAAAAGATTATTCATTTTCTGTTTTCATTAAGGTTATACACATTTATGTAGAACGGTTGTACTTCGGAGTAATTTTGACCCATCAGCTATAAAACAATTTTCACACCACAAAACCTACTGACACACGAACACTCCCAACACACACAATAAGAGTCTGCAGTAACACTTTATAACTGCACACTATGAACCATTATATGTACTATTTATGCTTTGTAAGTCCCTTATAAACAACAATTAAAAGCTCAGTTATATTCTTAGGAAAAAATAAACTACTTATTCATTTCTATTAATTTGAAGATGCACAAATGAAGCTGTATCAAATGAAATTGCAATCTTAACTAAAATAAAATCATGGTACTGTTGAAACATCGCTAAATAACATTCACATGTTCTATCATAATATATTGTTAAATCATTATATTGTTGTTGTTTTGCCCATTTTTATGTTATATTTGGACACCCCTGATAATTAGTAAAGTTTAAACTTTAGTCATTTTATTTTTTTAATAAAATTGAAATGATTTATTGTTTATTTGATACAATGCCTTTAATTGTTATTTATAAGAGCACACATATAGAGCACACACACACACACACATATGTATTTATATATATATATATATATATATATATATATATATATATATATATATATATATATACATATATATACATATATATACATATATATATATATATACATACATACATACATACATACATACATACATACATACATACATACACACACGTTTATTAATTGTTTAATTATGCAGCTATACCAACTATTTTATATAACTGGTTTATATGGTTTTCATGGTTTATAGCATGAAAACAAAATCATTAAGCAGATTATACATGTGCTTATAAGTAAAAAAAAAAAACAGCATTGTAGCTGTATTTATTAACTGATACTAACATCTAATGTAGAGTTGATGTTTATACAACAAATAATAAATTAACTATTTGCTAATGTTTAATAAATGATTCACTGAATTGTGTAGTTATTTTAAAGTGTTACCAAATCTCCTGTTTTAACTTTTATGAATACTGTCTTGCTAAAAACTGTCACACTTGCATAGGTACCTTTAGCATTAAAAATCCACTCTTTACTGTAATCAAAAAGGTGTTGCCCACCGAGTAAACACTGATGAAATACTACACACTGATGAGGGAAAACCTAGACATTGTAAGAATTGAAATATTACAAATATTTTTGATGTCTTTGACAATTCAAAACATGAGCTGAAGACAGGGCCAATGGACTCCACAACCCACCAGTGGGGAATGCGTGAAAAACCAGTTCCTGCTGCATTTGCATCTGACTATGCTGAGACTCAGCTTCATCCCCCCAACTCACGCATATGGTCATTTCAATGTTTTAAATTAACCAAACTGACTTTAACCATCATGTTTGATATCATTTGAAATGTCTCAGTGCGATTGGTACAATGGTCTCATTCTCTCAGAAATAGACATAATCAGAACAATAAATATATAACTTCAGGCATCTTTTGAACCACTGTGAGGGGTGTGACTTTTTACACACACCCCCTTCCTTGAGGGAATTCTTGGATTATTTAAGGCAAGGTTTGAGAAAAACTCAGGGCGATTCTGCCTAACCAGATCAGCCCATAACATGGCTAGCTCCATGTTATGTATATTTCAAAGTCAGGAGTGCATCTTTTTCATCTTGGAGTTATCTTTGATAATTTGATGTTTTGTATTGATCGTTTATGAATTGACTGATTGAATTGGCATAATACATTTACCTGACTAATAAATTGTTATGTTTTGAATGATTCAAACAGACCTCTTGTTATTATCACTGATAAATGTTGTTGTCCATAGCACTACAAGCCACTGTACAGGTTAGTAACGGACTAAAACATGTTAGACGGAGCAGCGTGGCACGCTAAACAATGTTGTTAGAGATCCGACTAGCAAATTGGCATTATTTCATGTATACGTAGACTGCAAAAGGCCAACTATGGATTTTCTATTTAGAACAACAAAATATTGTTGAAACTACTTTAAATGTGGATATTTAGGCCTTCATCTACAAATTTATAATCCTGTGCGATTATTATTAAAATACTTTGTCTTGATTAAGTAGATAACAGATCTATGGGGACCACATAAAAATCTCCTAAATTGAGTAAGTAGTGTTCTGCCTTTTTAGGAGAGTGGTTAATCGCCTCTGTTTAATGACCAAGACTGACAAGCTTGTATTAAGAGATTGTATACCCGGCCGGTGCAAGACTCGAGATGCTATCGGAATCTGAGTAAATGAGAATAAGGTATAAGAACAAATCAAAAGAATATTCAATCATAATCTAAAATAATGTGAAAGGAAACAAAATAATCTTATCAATGTTTTATAATTGGAGTCAGTTAAAACGAGGATAAACATATTAATATTCTAAACCATCTCATACTAAAAATGGAGTCAGATATGAGTTAAGTTTAATATAAATCAACATTGTGCACTGGAAAGACCGAACATGCAGTGAACCTTCATCCACCATTGGATACCGTCATTGGACCAACTGATTGGACCCTACAACATTTACAGTTTATGATGAAGATATTGTTGTTTCTTCATGGTAAATGACTTGAATTTAAAGACTTGAATTTAATTTAACTGCATTATTTTAGAAGTTTAGTAAAGCAAACCCATTTTTGACCCGAAGGGCAAACAGTGGAGACTGAATTCTAGGCAACACAAGGCAAACAGCAGCAGATTTCAGCAGTTCTCGTGTTTGTTTTCTTAGATTTTTGTGGAAATTTTATTTTAAGGGGCTATGGCATTAATGTTTTTAATACATCTATTCAATACAAAAGGCAAACGGTAGCAAAACGGATAAACTACTTTTAAAATTCATTATATACATATAGGCAGTGCTGAAACTTGCAGAAATTTCCTCTGATTGGTCAACCAAATCTGAGCTCCTGATATCCCCTCAAAACGATAGTCCTCTGAGTACCAGCACCCATACTTTTAATGATATATATATTAACAGTATTATCAGACATTTGTCATTAAAATAAGATCATAGTTTGCTGACAAAAAAAAATAAAAATAATATATGCCTATAGTTCACCAATCAAGCAAACCTGGTGCTGCTGGGAAATGGCTATGCTCAGCATCAGGTGCACCGCAACAAGAAGTTTGGCGGTGAACTATAGGCATATATTATTTTTATTTTTTGTCAGCGAACTATGATGATTTTAAAGACATGAACTATGATTTTAATGACAAATGTCTGATAATACTGTTAATTTACATTTTTTATTACATTTATGCATACGCAATGAATGTAAGCCTGCTAACTGATCAAACTATAGAATATGTAAACTTAGTTTATATATATATATATATATATATATATATATATATATATATATATATATATGATTAAATAATAATTAAAAGTCTGGGTGCTGGTACTCAGAGGACTATCGTTTTTAGGGGGCATCAGGAGGTCAGATTTGGTTGAGTCAAAGGAAATTGGCTGTTTCAGCATCGCCTATATGTGTATAATGAATTTAAGTAGTTTATCCGTTTTTCTACCCCCCCAAAAAAAAGAGAAAATCCAGCCAAAAATACTTTTTTTTTTATTATTATTTTTTTTTAAACTAGATTCTTTTCAAGACACTTCTATACAGCTTGAAGTGACTTTTAAAGGGTTAACTAGGCAGGTTAGGGTAATTAGGCAAGTTATTGTATAATAATGTTTTTTTCTGTAAATAATCAGAAGGTAATATTGCTTAAGGGGTCTAATAATTTTGACCTTAAAATGGCTGTTAAAAAACATTAAAAACTACTTTTATTCTTGACGAAATAAAACAAATAAGACTTTCTGCAAAAGCAAAAATATTATCAGACATACTGTAAAAAATGATTGCTCTGTTAAACAAAATTTGGGAAATATTTTAAAAAGAAAAATAATTCAAAGGGGGGTAATAATTATGACTTCAACTGTATATTGTATTACAGTCCAACTATAAAAGTTTTTGTGTCTCTTTTTATCAGGGTCCAGTGACTACTAGGGGGTCTCTGCAAACTTCCATTGACCACAAGATAAGGATTCACTCAAGGAAGGATTAAATGCCACCATCTCACCCCAACCCTTTGGTGCATCTGCATTGGAAATTATTGGTCAATTTTTGAGTGATGGCCTTTCCACCACCATACCTTTTAAAATAGTAACATATGAATGGTTAATTGTTTTAGGCTGCAGCCATTTATTTTAATTTCCAATAATACATTTTAAACTGAAATTGTATGAAATGCCATGTTATTTTATGTATTGTAAAAAAAACAAGTTATTCAACACCATTTCAACTAATGTCAAGCAATTTTAGAATGTGACTGTTATGCATAATTACTGCATCCTCCTTACCACACAATTCTTATAACAATTGACATAACAACAGTGCAGTTAAGGTCTGACCATGTCAAAGTTGTATCAACTGCAGCTTTTATACATAAAGTAAATGGGGTTGTTTAAATTGAAACCTTTTTGGAATTATTTATTTTTTGAACTTGAACTGTGCATAGAAAATGCATCAAATAATCAAGCAGTTTGTGGTTTTCCCTGTCTGATGCTTGGACAGTTGTGTGGAACCAGTTTCTCTTCTATGTATTTGGTTGTGCTCTTATGTGATGTTAAGAAGAGAATGGAGCACAGTAATTCTAATAACTACATTTTACTAAAATCTATACTTTATAATTTATAATTTTGTTGAGATTATAATAACAGAAACTGTAAAAAGAATAATTACTAAAATTGTTACATGTAAGATTATTGCTATTATATTTATTAATGAATTATATAGTTATATTCAGATGAGTAAATACAGTATGTTTATAAAACCAGAACATATACACACATTATTATTATTATTATTTATTCCCATAGATGTCAGTGGCTGTTTTTTTTCTCTCTCCAACATTCTTTAGAATATTTTAGTTTTGTTCAACAGAAAAAAGAAACAGAACTTTAGAACTACTTGAGTTTGAGTAAATGATGAGGGAAATTTTCTTTTTTGGTCAATGATCTTATTGAGTTAAAATTAAGTCCCTTGAATTTGCATAAGACTCTATTGTAGTTATTTGCCTTATGATCGCATAACATGTTTTATTTTGTTATGGCATGGGAAAAGCCAAAATTCAGTCAGCAACGTATACAAACTGTTCTGCTTAATTTTAAATGTTTATGTTTGATTCATTGCGGTCAGCTTTTACAACAGTGATGCTAAATGAACAATTATCTGAACATAAAGTGTATCTTAAATGGAGGATTTTTCCTTTTAAAAGCTTCATTAAATAAGTGTTGAAAGTCATGTTCATCATTTAGAATTTTTTGGCACATCTCTACATACAATACAGACACCAAATACATCTGTACATGTTCATAAATTGTATGTGCTCACTGATCAGTGTTGTGGATCCTTTTATAAGAGCCTATTTTTTTCTCTTGTAAATAATAACACTTTAAAATGTCTTTTACCATGATAATTTAAATTATCTTTTCATTTGCAACAATGTATAAACTGCCATAAGTGCCATAAGGCAGTGTAAATTAAATTAACATTTGTAGAGTGCATTTCCTCCATAGGCTTTTCCTTAAATCAGTAATATTATCAAGGTTTATTTTTGGAATTGTCGGTTTTGGCTTGTTTATTTGAGGTTTAATCATTTTGAACAAAACATATAAAGGGTTGGGTATAATATATGGCATGGGTCAAATCTAAATGACACACAGCCTTGGATCCCCCTCGATATAAACCGAACTGTTACTCAAATGATCAAGCTTGTATATTGGACTTAAAATAGCAGCAACCAAAAATGATGTATATACAGTATATTATGCTTTTAGCAAAATAACAGATAGTAAACGTCGACCAATAAAGCAGGTAAGATTACTGCTGTTATTTATTTTTTGCATACGTTTTGTTTAACCTATTGAAGGATCATATAATCTAAAAAAAATACAAATAAAAAGTGCATGATGTGGTCCAAAATGTGTTTGTGTGTGTGTTTGCATGTACGTGCTGTACGTTTTTTCTTATGAAAATTATATAATTTTTTCAAGTTTTTATAATTTTAGAGCATATTTCTACAGTTTCTATTATTTTAACTAAAAAGAAATAGTGTGCATAAAATGTACTCATTAAAACCGTCATAAAAGATAATCAAGCACAAACTTTGAACGTCATGAATGCAAAATACATTATCAGTGACATTGCCTTGCACCCCATGCGTTGCGACATCTCTGACAGTGAAAAGAGCTCCTCGTTCTAGTTTAAGCGGGTCACGTCTGTTTACCAGAGCTTTCCGTGCCACGGTAATTTCAGGAGTTTAAAATTCATCGTATAGACGTCGTATAGAGGTAAGGAAGACGGCTCATTAACAAATAAAAACGTTCGATCGAATGCGATGTTTAGCAGATGTTACGATCTTTCAAAGACGTCTCCGCGACGTACCTGTGCTATCTGGGAATAACCCTGGTAATTAGTTATTATAATAATGATGTAATTCTAACTCGGATACAATCTGTGAGAACTAGAAACAACTACTAGGAACAATGAAAAGTACTAAGCCAACACTATCACTGTAATAGCAGATATCTTCTATGAGAATACTTTTTAATTTAATGTTTTTATATATTTTATATAGCGCCAGTTCTCAAGAACTCTTTACAAACAGTGGGGGTACAAGAAAAGCAATAACTAACTAATTAAAAAGGTGGGAGACTAATAATACATAAAATAATGACAAAAGACCTGGGGACAAGTAACAAGAAAGAAACTCATTCCTGTCTTTCAATGAGTGCTTATGTGCGTTTAGGAGAACTAGGCAGCACACTCAGGGCTGCAAGATGGATTTAATTTAGTATTCTTATTATTAAAATATATCTGAATGAGGATTAAATGACTGATTTGGTGTTTGACAATGAAAACCAACCTGTTTGTTCCTGCAGATCTTCCTGTTTGACTGTGAATGTTTCTTCAATCTTCACATCTTCACTCTCCTCTTTAATAAACGCCATCTTTATAACAGTGTGGAGATCAGTCACTTCAGCAGGAGTTTTTCTCTGCGTTTGGACACTTTATCCTGTTTAAAATGAACAAAACAATAAAAATGTCCTGTTAAAATAAATAAAACAATAAACAGAAACAAAATAACTTCTCTTCAACACTTGCTTCAACAGTTTCTTTATATGAAAGTAATAAATAAATCAGGTAAAAGGTTTCATTAATAATTATTAATACTTAAAGTATATTTACTTTATTCAAACAATAGCCTGTAAATACTGAGAATAAAATAGTACTACGTTGTATAAAGGGTTAAAATAATATGTCCAACAGCAGGAACATAATTTAACATCGTATAAAAAACTAAAACTTTAGAACTTTAACTTTAAATCGGTTTATATCTGTAAACGTTCTAAAACAAACCTTTCTCCAGTTGAATCACAGCGCTGAAGGGGCGCCGTCTGGTGACGTCACACGCCGCGTCAAAATAAAAGTATTTCTTGGTGAGCTTTTTTCCATTTACTGTTGCAGTCATGACAAACCTTTAATGTAAATATTTTAAGACAAAGGTTTAATTTATTAAATAGGATGATTTCACTTTATTCTAAGTATGTATAAGAAATGGAGTACTAGTTTTAATTAGCTCATTTGTGGCTATTGTTTCTTGCTCTGACTTACCGGATTTATTTTTGTTAATTGCTCTCATATAAAGAGAAGTTATTTCTGTTCGTAGTTTTATTCATTTTAAACAGGTTATTTGTATTGCTTTTTAATTTTTTACTGGGTAAAGTGTCCAAACGCAGAGAAAACCTATATATAATAAGTCATGACTAAGAGTAAGTGGCAAAAAAAGGTTAAAAAAAAAGACTTTTATTTGAGCGTGGCTTGTGACGCCATAAGCCTGCGCCGCTCTCGTGCCGTGATTCAACTGGAGAAAGGTTTGTTTTAAAGCGTTTACACTTATATAAACCAATTGATTAAAGTTTCAGTTTTTTTCATTCAGTGCTAAATTATGTACCTGCTGTTGACAATATTATTTTAACCCTTTATTCTACGTATTACTATTTAACTCACAGTAATGAGGTCTATTGTTTAAATAAAGATAAGATAAACCTTTTGTTCCCGAGAGGAAATTTGTCTTGGGCAAAAAAGTGCTATAAGCAGACAATAATATAAATAAAACAAACAAAACAATTAAGAACATACATGAAGAAAGTTTAAGTGAAGTAACAGTAAAGTGTGCAATAAGTGTTTTAATGAAGGTTTAATTTATTAAATAGCATAATTCCATTCTAAGTATACATCACCATATAAAAGAAATGGAGATAGAGGTAAAGTTGGTTTTATATTCGCACATTCGTTCATTAAGAAGTCTATATTGTTTACCACGTTACTTTAAATATTCGATCAGATTTATTAGCATGCAAGTGTGACTTCTAAACAACATTAGCACTGTTTATTTGACTGTGAACAATGTTGTACTTTAATAGTCATTGGCTGCTTATATGATTTCGCTATTTAGAGTTTGCAAAAATTACTTTTTATGAAATTATATTATTAAGGGGAAAGTCAGAATGTGCGAATATAAAACCAACCTACCTCTATGAAATGGAGTACTAGTTTTAATCAGCTCATTTGTGGCTATTGTTTCTTGCTCGGACTTACTCTTTTATCTCATTTCTTTTTGGTAATGACTCTCATATAAAGAAACTGTTGAAGCAAGTGTTGAAGGGAAGTTATTTTGTTTCTGTTCATTGTTTTATTTATTTTAAACAGGACATTTTTATTGTTTTGTTCATTTTAAACAGGATAAAGTGTCCAAACACAGAGAAAAACTCCTGCTGAAGCGACTGATCTCCAAACTGTTATAAAGATGGCGTTTATTAAAGAGGAGAGTGAAGATGTGAAGATTGAAGAAACATTCACAGTCAAACAGGAAGATCTCCAGGAACAAACAGGTTGATTTTCATTCTCAAAGACCAACTCAGTCATTTGATCCTCATTCAGATATATTTTAATAATAAGAATACTAAATTAAATTTATCCAGCCCTGATTGTGCTGCCTAGTTCTCCTAAATGCACATAAGCACTCATTGAAAGACAGGAATGAGTTTGTTTCATCACTTGTTCTCATGTTTTTTTGTCATTATTTTATGTATTATTAGTCTCCCATTTTCTCTACCTTCTTAAGGTTATTGCTTTTCTTGTTCCTCTACTGTTTATAAAGTGTCCTTGAGCACCGGCACTTTATAAAATACATAAAAACAATAAATTTAAAAAGTTTAACTGAGCTGGGGATGTTTGACCTACAGTATTCTCATAAAGGATATCTGCTATTACAGTGATAGTGTTTGCTTAATACTTTCCATTTGCATATGTCACAATAATCACAATTCCAACTTCTTTATGGGTTTAAACTTGTTTCTAGTAGTTGTTACTAGTTCTCACAGATAGTATCTAGAATTACATCAT